GCCCTTGAGCAGATCAACACTCCCACCCAACATGATGTCGTCTGCAAACTCACTGAGGGAGCCCTCGATCTCCTCATCCATATCATTGATAAAGATGTTGAACAGAACTGGCCCCAGTACTGAGCCCTGGCAAACACCACTCATGACTATCTGCCAACTGGATTTAACTGCATTCCCCACCACTGTTTAGGCCCAGCCATCCAGCCGTTTTTTTACCCAGCAAAGAGTATGCTCGTCCAAGTCATAAGTGGTCGGTTTCTCCAGGAGAATGCTGTGGGAGACTGGGTCAAAGGCTTTACTAGAGTCTAGGTGAACAACATCCACAGACTTTCTTTCCCTCATCCACTAGGCAGGTCACCTTGTCATAGGAGGAGTTCAGGATAGTCAGGCAGGACCTGCCTTTCATAAGCCCATGCTGACTGGGCCTGATCACCTGGTTGTCCTATGCATGCTGCGTGATGGCACCCAAGATGATCTGCTGCATAACCTTCCCTGCACCGAGGTCAGGCTGACAGGCCTCTAGTTCCCCAGATTCTTCTTCTGGCCCTTCTTGTAGCTGGGCATCCCATTTGCTAACCTCCGCTCAACTGGGACCTTCCTGGTTAGCCAGGACTACTGGTACATGATGGAGTGGCTTGGTGAGCACTTCTGTCAGATCACTCAGTACTCTTGAGTGGATCCCATTTGACACCATGTACTTGTGGAGGCAGTGTTTCATACCTTGGCTGCTAGTTATCCTATGAAACAATCAATGGAAAAACTTGGTCCTGCTTCTCATACCATTTCCTTTCGAATTAGTGTTTGAATAGCCAGAAGTTCTCTATTCTTGGTCTAGTCATGGGAGTAATAGTTCAGTTTATGCATATATAAAGAACCTGTTTTTACTTCCTAATTGAGAACTTGGAGGCCTGTACTGACTGTGTATAGTATGTGTCAGGTTTCTTTCAGTCTGGATTGGTTTATGTATGTAGTACTTGTCTGGCACCAAAGAATATTTCTGTCAGTGCTAAGGATTGTATTATTCAGGATGAGGTGGTTACAAAACTGTTCACTGTAAATGAGTGGCTTAATATAATATATTTTAACAAAACAAAACAAAAAAATCACAAATTAAAAATCAGCCAGATAAATGAGTGGTTTTGAGGAAGGTTTATTTGGATTCAGAGACATGAAAAAATAAACCATGCCAGTGCGTTGCTTATAAAAATAAGTTTGACTTTTGTGACCCTGTTCCTATTTCAGGCAAAATAAAATTTGCTGTAATGGGGCTGTACAACTTAGCTGTATGCATGAGTTAAGAAAGGTCTGTGTCTTTCCATAAGGTGTTCTGTGGCTGAGCACCCAGAGATGGTTGTTGGGGGTAAAGTTGTTTGTGTGTGTTTAAGAAAAACACAAAGATTTTGATTTAAGATTGAAAAGGTATTGGAAAACACTGCCATGAGCTTCAGAATTTTGAAAATAGTACATGAACGTGTTGCGGGTTTCTGTTCCTGAAATTGTCTTGAGTTTGTAATATCTTTGATATGCACATCGAACATGTTTGGTTGTCCTGTTGTACTCAAGTGCTTTTCAGAGGCAAGAGTATTAAAAAAAAAAAAAAGACTTTTAGTAGTGGGAGTTGCAGTGTCCTTGGATAGGTGTGTGTGGCACATGGCCTGGAGTAGTTGTTGGTAAGTGCATGCTTCCTTTTCCGTGCTGTTGCTGTTTCACTAACAGATATGAAAAGATGTTAGATCATGTAACTAATAGTTGTCCTACTTCCAATGTTTGTTTTAATGATCATCAGTAGAAGACATGGTGTGCAGCTGAGTGGATGGGAAGGTAACTGCACAACAGTCTTCTATAACATGATCCCATTGATGGATTTTTAAGGGCTGCAGTAATGGATTTCATCTCTGAAATCATAATCAGCAGCTGAATCATGCTTGGAAGAAACTATTTTGCCCTATATATATTGTTCAATATTTTTATGAATTTTGTTTGATAATCTGAGATGCATGTGATTTAACAACTGAATGTGTGTTTACCTGGGATACTTGTTCTTAAGAAATTCTTGCTGAGCATTCTTAATTTTCTGGAAGCAGACAACACTGTAAGTGGGAGGGAAATGATGATGATGGTTTTGATCTTGCACTCTGAAGAAGGGTTTCTTACAAGTGCAGAACTGGCTGATTGATTGATTGCCTCCTGGTGCAGATAATGCTTTTGTATGCCCAGTTTAGGTATTTTGTTGTCAAAAGGGTGTTAACTAGATAACGATTGTACTTGTCTGTTTTTACAGTTGGTAAGACTTTTGAGGCTGTTTGGCTTATTACTAAATATGAATTAGAGTTTGCTGAATGAGTAGAATAACAAGAAACATCTCTGTTTCAAAAGATTAAAGAGCTTTTAATACTTGAGTCAACCTGAATGGTCTGCTTTCTAAATAAACTTTCTAATTCTTACTTCATGGCTAGTAAGTTACAGTTGCTGTTAACAGCAGCCTGAGAATCTGCGATGAGTGCATGTGTGTAAGGGAAGTTGTCATCTGAGTTTAAAGAGCATTATCCAGTTTTTCTGAACTTGTGGCAGATGAATTTACTGTTTGAGGTACAGTGCCTGTGACCTGCCCCTTATACTAAGTAAATTTGAAAACTCTTACACTATCAAACTTCTCCTGACACAAATGGCCCTGATGTTTAATAAGGAGCCTTGTTTGTAAGTTCAACACTTGAAGACATTTACTTGTGAATGGAATTTACTTTTAAACTTTGTAATGTATAATTATTTTTTATAGGATGATGAGGCCTTTAATTTGCATAACAGCAACAGTCCTCATGATGAGAGAGATATAAACCGAAACTTTGAGAAGGACATTCCACAGGAGAATGGCAATGCTTCAATTACATCTCAACAGATCATTCAGTCTCCAGCTTTCCCTCATGCAGGTGTTCTTTCAAGCTCACTTGAGGCAGAGCATAGGTATGTACTTTATATCATATAAAGAGTGTTACTTTTTGGTAAATAAGCATGTCATAAATTCTTACCAGTTCAGAAGTCAGAATCTGAAAACTGAGAACACGTAAAATGGTTACTGACTGCTGTCCAAGTTTAACTTTTAGATGTGTACTAATTTAACATGGAATATGCTTTGTTCCTAGTAGACTTAGCCAGTATTGTGTACTGACTGAAGCTTGCTTTACTAAAAACTTGCTATATTTCCTTATAAAGAAGTAAAGCAAACTGCATAGTGACTTCATCCCTCTCATTTTGGTCTGCATGTCTAGGAGGAACAATGCATGTATTTGCTATTTGGATTAATAGTACTTTAAATGCTGCGTCTGATGTAGAACTCCAGTGAGTTTTTTGTCATTGTTAGAGTAGTTAATTATTTCTGTGGCTGACTAGTTGACACTGTCAGTGATGTCACAAGAGAGTGCACTGGGGAGGGAGAAGGTAAGTTCAGAAAGGATTGAAACAATTCTAGTATCTCATAAAAGTGACGGCAGTAGCAGCTGGTAGAGATGAAAATGGTGCTGCTGGGAAATCACAAATCAGTCTGGAGATGAACTTGTCATGAGCTTTGTCAGATTCTGACTATTTCTGGCAACTACAAAATTGTAGTGATAGGTTAGATTTTTTTAAATTTATTTTTATTTTAGTGAGAGATTTTGCGTATACATTGGACTAGAGAACTTTCCCTTTTATAGTACCTGCAGAGGAAATGTCAAAGACCTCTTAGCCCTCGCAAGTACGAGAAGTGAAGTGTACCCTGCTCTGTTCCTTTTTTTCTACCATTGGCTGTGGAGACAGAAATCTTTTGCCACTAAAGCTGCTGATAATGATTTTTTGACTAGAAGATAGGAGTTGAATCTAGCTTTTGTTTTTCAATTCAAATGACTTTGAATGGCCTTCATAGGGTTTCTGGGCAAGTGTCTTTCCTTTGTGGTATCCTAGAGAGGCTGTGTCTTCATACTGTCTCAGCCCTTTGGCTGTGACCTCTGTATGCATGTAGGCGGATGGTTATGGTAAGCCTTTTTGTGGTAAATTGAACGTGAAGTGACCAGCTTAACTCACAGGATACTTGTGCATACCTGGTAACAGTATGGACGTATCTCATACAAAATATATCTTGGACTTCCCTTCCTCTGGGGAAGTTTCCAACATGCAGCCATCATGTTGGTGTCAAGTTTGCTAGTCTGAAGTTTAATATTTTTACATAGTTCACACTTTTAAACATTCTAGAAGCCTAGAGTCACTTTAAAGGGACAGTGGTCCTGCTAACTTTAGACAATGTTAGTCAAATCCATGTCTCTCCAGTTTACGGACAAGGATGTCATGTGGGACAGTGTGAAATGCTCTGCACAAGGCCAGGTAGATGGTGTTGGTTGCTCTTCCCTTATGCATCAGCCCTGTAGCCCTGTCATAGGCCACCAAATTTGTCAGGCACAATTTGCCCCTAGTGAAGGCATGCTGGCCGCCACCAATCACCACCTCATTTTCCGTGTGCCCTAACATAGTCTCCAGGAGGGTCCGTTCGGTGATCTTGCTGGGCACAGAGATGAGACTGACTGGACTGTAGTTCCCTGGCTCTTCCTTTTTTTTATTTTTTAAAAGTAGGGATTATGTTTTCCTCTTCCACTTACTTGGAACTTTGCCAGACTGCTATGGCTTCACAAATATGATGGATAGTGGCTTAGCTGCTTCATGTGCCAGTTCCCTTCGGTACTTCCTTTTTCTGTTTCAGTTTGTCCAGGAGCTCCTTGTTCATCCACACAGGCCTCCTGGCATTTTTGCCTGACTTCCTCTTTGTTGGGATGCGTTGCTGCTGAGCTTGGAGGAGGCGATCCTTGAACGTTGACCAGCTTTCTTGGGCCCCTCTTCCCTCCAGGGCTTTATCCCATGGTACTCTGCCAAGCAGTTCCCTGAAGAGGCCAAAGTCTGCTCTCCTGAAGTGCAAGGCACTGAGCTTTCTGTGTACCCTCCTCACTGCCCTAAGGATCTTGAACTCCACCATCTCATGGTCACTGCAGCCAAGGCTGCCCTTGAGCTTCACATTCACCACCAGCCCCTCCTTGTTGGTGAGAACAAGGTCCAGCATAGCACCTCTCCTTATTGGTTGCTCTGTCACTTCGAGAAGGAAGCTATCATCAATGCATTCCAGGAACCTCCTGGATTTCTTGTGCCTTGCAAGATCACAGCCCTGCAGGCATGTGTACGTCTCTAACTCTTTGTGTCTATTCCCCATGCTACGTGCATTTGCATAGAGGCATTTAAGCTGAGCCCCCAGTGAAGCTGACTCACTGTCTGGAATTTCCTTGTGCTGCCCTCCGGGTGCTCTCCTGCTGACCTGTGATCCCTGTCCAGGCTCTGGGCATCTATTACTGGCACTGGCATCAGACTGGTAGGAGTGAGATGGCTTGAGGTTCCCCTCCTGTGGCAACTTTAGTTTAAAGCCCTCTTCCCCAGCTTGGCAAGCCTATAACCAAAATGCTCTTCCCTTTCTCTGACAGATGGACCCCATCAGCTCCCAGTAGATCAGTATTCTCAAAGCAAGTGCTGTGGTCTAAGTAGCCGAAGCCCTGGCTGTGGCACCGATCCCGTAGCAGTTGTTGCCCTGCCAGATTTGACTGTCCTTTTCCAACCCCTTCCCTTTGACCATGAGGACTGATGAAAAAACTACCCGCACTCCCAAGTCCTTTGCTGCTGCTCCCAGGGCTCTGAAATCCGTCTTGATACTCCCCAGGCTGCTGCTGGCTGTGTCACTGGTGCCCACATGGAACAACAGCAGTGGATAATAGCCAGTGGGCTGTATGAGGGTTGGTAGTCTCTTGGTGACGTTCCTGACACAAGCCCCTGGTAAGCAGCGCACCTCCCTAAAGAGTGTGTCAGGTCAGGAGACGGGTGCGTGTGTTCGTCCTTCTCAGAAGAGAGTCACCTCCTGTATCTGCTGTCGTCATCTTTTCTTAGTTGCTGTGGTTCTTCTATGTGGAATGGATCAGGCTGCTTCGCTCGGCTCCAGCATCTCTCCCGATGTGATGGGTTTTTCCTCTTCAATCTGTAGAGCCGTGAAGCTGTTCTGCAAGGATGTCTCAGGCTTCAGGGGAAGTCTCTTCCTCCTTCTGGTCCTTGCTGTTGCAGCCTTCCATTCTTGAGCATTATTGACCTCACTCTCTTCTGTGTGTGCCGCTGGGGGGACTTTCTGACTGTCTAGCCGTGGGCTGTGGGTCCACTGCAGACTGCATTATCTAACTCCTTCTAATCCTCCCTGATGCCACCTGCTGCAGGAGGTCCTCCGCCTGGGCTCACCTATTGCAGGCAGGTCTGCTGCCTGTCCCTGCCCCGGGAGAAAGGCCTGGGCACTTTCTCCGGTTTGACAGTGCTTTATCAGTCACATACTGCTGTCCCACTTTTGGGAGTAGCTAAAACATGTTGATTATTGCATCTTCAGAGATCTCAGGCTTGGTCACGAGAGGAATCTGTCTGTTACTTCTTTTCCTCCCCTCATCCGAATACTCACTCCTAGTTCTAGGCTTTCTGTGCTGAAATACCAGTGTCTGCAGTTCAGTGAGACTCAATTGCAAAGAAGCCTGTCCTGGCTCTGACATTAGTGTGTGCTAGAAAAAAGTAACTATATGAGGCCATTGCATCCTGAATTTGTTCCCGTGGAGGGACAGTACCAGTACTCCTCATGGCTGCTGTGTTATCCAGGAAAACCTGCAGATTCCTTCAGCGTGAGTCTTTGTCTCTTCATACTGTTTTCAAGGGGGTACACTGCTGCTCCACCGGAGCAGTTATGCAGAGGAAATACATTCTTTTCCACCTGACACAGATGTCTTGCCTTAAAATGAAGGTTCAGTTTTTACCACATGTAGTGTAAAATGGGGTCATCTGTGAAGGACATCTCAACTTCTATGATTTGTGTATCTTTTGTAAGGCTTTTAATCTACTTTTAACTAAGAGTTTGTTTAAAAATAGTTATGCACTGATTAATCCATTTGTTACAGGTCTTTACACACGTATATAGGCAGAGCTTGAAATGTCTTGTGTATGTGTGTAGCAAATTCCTTAATGTTGTCCTTTTTAATTTAAAGGTTGTTAAAGGAGATGGGCTGGCGGGAGGACAGTGAAAATGACGAAACATGTGCTCCGCTAACAGAGGATGAGATGAGGGAGTTCCGAGTGATTAGTGAACAGGTAACACTAAGTTAACGTTCCATTACAAAGTTGTAGTTGACTACCCTAGATGCCTACCTTTTGAGAAGGGTCTGCAGTAATTTGATGGCTGGGAATGTTGCTGTTCCAGTACCATTTCAGTATTGTGCCTTTGGAAGAACAGTTGCTTTAAAAAGATTGGAGACCAGTCCTTATTGTAGGTAAGGCCTCTTCTCAAAATATCAAGGGAAAGGTAAGGGTGTGCTTCTGAGTGCTTTCAGCACTGCTGGTAGTAGAATTGCACAGGCTTTCTAGCTTCTCAGCTTAGCCTGGGGAAAGGGAATTTTCTTTCAAGGTTTTTATGCATTTTTCTTAGTTCTCTAAAATCTGAATTTTCTCTGTTGGAGAGTGAGACACATTTAATTCACTAGTAACTAAGTCTGAAAAGGCAATCTAGACTTGAGTTTTTTAAATTAGGAGTGTTTTGTGTACCTGATGGGGTCAATGAGGAGGTCCTGGAAGGGAGAAACTTGTGTGAAGTCAAATCTGAACATTTGGTATTTTCAGAAGTCTAGCCACACACATGTTAAATAGAGCATTTGGAATATTAAACATTTAAGTGCTTGGTTTGTTGCCCAGCTTCTGCACTATGTCTGGAAATGCAGTAATTCCTGTCTTTTTGTAGAATCAGTTCTTTCCTTTGTCTCCAGTGTCTTTGATTTTCCGACTGCATCATACCCATTCTTTCCTGCTCCTTCTCCACTTCTGGGCCCCTTCCTTATTGCAGACTCTGCCCTGCTTAGCACAGATGTTTGCAGCACTGTGGAAAAAGGGACTGCATTGCAGGAGAGACTGTGTGGGAGGAGGGGTCATGGGGGCAAGATGTCTGAGGAAGTGGGTGAGCAGAGGGTAAGCTCTTGTTGACTGCAGGAGCTTAGCATGATTGGAGGTGCTTGGATACAGGTGGCTGCCCCAGAAGTGAAGGCTGTTAGGGGAGTTTTCCTTTGTGTGTGTATGTGAAAAGATAGTGCTATGAATCTAGTTTAGCCCAGAGATGATGATGTAGAGAACATTGAAATGCAACAGATTGTTGTGCTTAGCTTTTTCTTTTTCTAAATACATCTGATTTTCTCATTTCAGTTACAAAAAAATGGCCTTCGGAGAAATGGCATTTTGAAAAATGGCCTCTTCTGTAATTTTAAATTTGGCCCCTGGAAAAACAGCACTTTCAAACCTGCTCTGGAGAACGAGGATTCTGAGACGAGCAGCAGTGATACATCAGATGATGATGATGTGTGAAGACTTCTCTAACACCTGTAGAAGCCTGTTGTGATCTCATGAAAATTTGGGGATGTTGTCCAAAAGATTTTCTAATTTGTGTAATAACATACCCACTAGAGTAAGAATGATGGGACTTTTTTGTGACAAGAGCAGGGGAAGTTGTGTTGGGTGTGTTGAAAACTGTTATAATTTCTTTGTAAACGAACGTTGTAGGATGAGGGCGTGGCTTGACCCAGCATTGACTTTCTTCTTCACTGAAGCATTTCTGACTAGCAATGTGACAATGTAACAAATCAGACTTTGACATTTAATAATAAAAATGAAGAATTGTGCAATGTCTTGCAAAGCTTCTGTCTTAAAATGTCCAAGTCTATAAGGATAAAAAGGGCAGCTTGACACAGTGTTTTGCTTGTCAAGTAATTTCTTTCTTACAATGGAAATCCTTGAGTCCACTCTGTACGCAAAAAGGACAATGTAGCACATTGGCTAAAATGAGTAAAGTGCACTAGAACTCCTTTCCTGAATTGAGCTGTTGTACTGTTCTACTTCTTCCACACATAACTGCTCTTCAGCCATTTGTAGTGTAGTCATTGTTATTAATGGCAAAAGACCCTGATGTTACACTTCCAAATTTATAGAACTAACCTTTGAATTGAAAGCTTTATGGGGCATTGCAAGACCCAGTATTCTCAGAGTGAACACATTTCTTGTGGGGAAAATAAGCACTTTGATTTTACTATTCACATGCAGAAAAATAATTACATAGGCTGGATTTGTCCACTGCATTGAAAATAAACTGATTTCCAGAGCATTGTCTCAGTTCATAGCATCAAGGGTATTGTTTTTAAACCTGGTAAGTTTTGTTTACATTTATAGTAAATGAACTCTGGCAGCAGTGACTGCAATTCAGAGTGAGCTAAAAATATTTTCATCAGCAGATATTTCTTTTGTAGCAGCAGAAGTATGTCTATGCCATAACACCAGTTTTGCTTACTCTGTGTCACACTTCTTTATGATCACACATTTAAAAACCAAGTATTGTATTATTTATAGTTTTGATTCATTTTAGTTCTTTAAGTATCTTCCACAGGGTTGTACAAACTACGTATCATTAATTCATAAGCACAACTGCTCTCAGTGATGTTGCATGTATTTGTAACGTAGCTAATATCATAGAATCGTACTATAGAATGGTTTGGGTCAGAAGGGACCTTAAAGACCATCTCATTCCAACCCCCCTGCCATGGGCAGGGTTTCCCACCAGACCACGTTGCTCAAAGCCCCATCCAGCCTGGCCTTGAACACTGCGAGGGAGGAGGCAGCCACAGCTTCTCTGGGCAACCTGTGCCAGTGCCTCACCACCCTCACAGGAAAGAGTTTCTTCCCAATACCTAACCTAAATCTCCCCTCTTTCACTTTGAAACCATTACCCCTCATCCTATCACTACACTCGCTGATCAAGAGTCCCTCCCCACCTTCCCTCTAGGCCCCCTTTAAGTACTGGAAGGCCACTAGAAGGTCTCCCCAGGGCCTTCTCTTCTCCAGGCTGAACAACCCCAACTCTCTCAGCCTGTCCTCACAGGAGAGGTGCTCCAGCCTCCTGATCATCTTTGTGGCCCTCCCCTGGACCCACTTGTCCCATCCCACTTGGGTTTCAGGGTAGGTGAATCTTTCGTACCCTCCCTTTTAAAAGGGCTTTTCCTCTGCACGACAGAGACCTTTTGCTCTGCAAAGGTAGCGAGTTAATAACCCTCTTTGGTCAGTAGATTGGCAGTAATAACGCACTTTATTAGTAGTTTCACAGCTTGGTTAAAATAATATTTCACACATAGGATAATAGTAATATTTGACAGGTTGGATAAAGATATACCTTTCCCTAATTCTATCTAATAATATGGAGAGAGAGAGGAAAAAAAAAAAAGTGAAAACAAGAAAGAAAAAGAAATAGCACCACTTGGGGGATCCAGTGATGTCTCACAGGTCTCGTCTGGTCTCTGGTGGCGGGTGCGCACCTGTGTCTTGATTATTGGCATTTTTATTGTCCCTTTCTGTTAATATTCATGAGTCATGTTCATGTTATCCCTGCCTCGCTTTCCTTGCTAATTAGGTGGGTGCAGTCTACAACATTTTGGGGGCTTGAAGGGGTTTCTGTCCACTATAGACAAGGGAGTGGCTCTCCTCAAGTCCAGTGTACACCCCTCTTCTGCAGGGTTTGTTTGTTTGGAGAGGGGAGGTTGGGTAGCTGCTCCAACTGAGGCACCACTTATAGATCGCCCCAACTAAAGTTTCTGAAGGGAGAACACCGCTCCACCCTCTATCTCCGAGGAGGGAGCACAGCTCCACCTTCGCAGGGCTTGTTCCCTCCCTGGAGCAGGCTATACTGCAAAGCAGGCTGGTTTTAGGGCTAATGCAGTCTGCAGAGCCGTGAAGCTGTTCTGCAAGGGTGTCTCAGGCTTCAGGGGAAGTCTCTTCCTCCCGCTGGCTTATTCTGCGAGGTCGCCTCTTCCTGGCTGGTTCTGCAAGGGCACCTCCGGCTTCTTGAATCCTTACAGATATCAGAGAATGCTTACTACTCAGGCTTCATTCGGTATACATCTTTTGTGGACATTCTCTTAGTATGCAGCGATCTATTCCAATGGCAATAGCATGATTGTTACAGAGAAGTGATGTTCCATGCTGCAGGGCAAAGGCTGATTTACTTTTCTGTCCTACCTAGGTCAAAATACAGCTTTGATGTGGACTGTCTAGCTGTGGGCTGTGGGTCCACTGCAGACTGCAGTTGGCACCAGCTCACTAACTCCTTCTCAGCCTGCCTGATGCTACGCAGTCTGCTCACTGCCTCCTGCAGCTCAGCCACCTGCTGCAGGAGGTCCTCCGCCTGGGCTCACCTATTGCAGGCAGGTCTGCTGCCTGTCCCTGCCCCGGGAGAAAGGCCTGGGCAGTTCCTCCAGTCTGAGGTCTGCACTTCAGCCTCTCCAGCAGCTCCGTCTGGGTGGAGCCATCAGCCACAGCTGGAGTAGATGGTGCAGACTCCCCAGTTGGAGCTGCAGCCTTTGCTCTCAGATGGTTGCCCACCATTCTGCCTTGAGGGTCAGGTAGGATGAATGCCTTGATCTATGCAGACAGTTGCAGAATGCTGTCCGGCTGATGAGTTCTGTGAGCTTCAAGCCTCTCTGCTCGGATCATGGAAAGCCCCTTCTTCAAAGAGATGCCCCCCTGCATGCACTCCCGTGCAAACTGCCGTATATATATATATGGACATTCCTCCTCCACAATGTTTTTGAATTGTACTATTTCTTATAGTAAGTACTTTGCAATTTAGAACTCTGAAGCAAAGATATTTACAAAAGCGTGTTTTTTGTCCGTATTTAACTTCTTTAGGAAAAGACTTTTTTTAATAAGGTTGCATCTATCAGTTTTGAGCCAAAGGTGGTATTTTTTTTTACTTTTATTTTTATTAGTTTAAATAAAGATTTCTATTCAAGAGAAATATTCTATTCTATTCATTTTGTGTCTTGGAACAGACATAAAAATGTTGATGTAGTTAGTTTTCCTGTCTAAATTTAAGAGGATAAAAATGCCTTTTTTTAAAGACAAAAATGCCCTATCAGTAATGAAGTCTTTCCTACCTTGTATGCCTTACAGACCTTTCTCCTTTCCCTGTCCTGCAGGTTTTTTTACTAGCTTTGACACCTTGGTGTAGTCTATTCCCTTTTTGGTTTTCACATCCTATCAACATGATCTTCTACCTGTCCTCACTACTTAGCATATGTGAATACACTATTTTTATTACTAAGTGAAAACTTTTTTGCCTTGGTATTTGTCAAGGTGGGACATAGACTTTTGCCCTCTTTATACAGTTAGGTAACAAGTCTCACCTCTCTAATTAACCCTTTGGGAAGATACTATAATTAAAGAAGAATTGTGTTATACTAAGTGTATAGACTTAGGAAATTTACAGGTTGTAATTGAGAAAATTCTCTTTTGAGAAAGTAGAAATAATAGTTATACTTGGTACTTCTGTTTCGCTAGTTTATATCCTGAAACTGGTTATAATGAGCTGTGAGCGAAGGAAGTAACAGGAATTGAGCAGTGGTTTTGCTTTATAGAATGAAACACCTTTACAGCTTTTGCAACTTCTTTGCTGTAGGTGTGTGGCTTCTTGTCTTGTAAGTGCTGTGTTGTCCGTCCTGGCTCTATAAACATGACATATTTACTCTGTACTCCTATTACACTGTGTTTGCATCTCTGAAGTCTGGCATGTTTGATACTGTGATTTGATGTTGCTCAGACACATAACCTTAACCAGCTGGTACTTGTTGATTCAGTTCTTCTCCTAGACGGTGGTCAGTTTTGCTAGTTCAGAGACATCTCAGAGGTCTGCGTAGTCCCTAGCTGAAATGGTTATCTGCCTGCTCTCATATTTCAGTTTGCCCTTCACCACAGTATGGATGTGGGGAAGCTTCGATGTTTCCACTGCGGAACTGGATTGCCTTATATTATATTTACTTATGGCAAAGCTGAGTACTGCTTTGGTCCTCTTTTTTGCCACCTTAAGAAACGCTTTCTTTAGCTACTCACTGAGGAACTCTGTTTGCAGTTGAGTTTTTGATTTTTGTTTTCCTGGGAAATGTCACTTAAAACAAAGTTTGGTTTTCATATTTTACTTCCACAAAATGTATGAAAGTCTTTTATACTGTCCCCCTCCCTTTTGTTCAGTTCTTGAGCATATAAAGCAGAATGAAATCTGATTCTCTAGTATGTAACAATGCAACTTTTTCCATCTTCGACTTTGCTCCTTTCCCAGGGCAATTTTGGTAGTTCATGGCACTTTCTCTTCTGTCATACATAAACCATGATCCATTCCCAGGATACATCCCTTCTTGTTTTTCTGCATGCAGCAGTCAGTGATGACTGTCATCAAACTCAAGCTCTTTCAGCCCAGCACTGGCAGACTATCTCCGGTAGACATGCATTAATACTCAAAGCTTACTAGAACAGATTAAACACCAGCAAGGAAGTCTGCCTTAAAGGCTTAAGAAGTTGGCGGACTCAGTGTGAGAGACTGAGAGAGTTCATGTATGCTAATGTCTCAAACATTGTGGCAAAATCAGTTCTGCACAGCAATGATAAACTGCAAAGGAGAAGTCGGCTAGCACAGCATGCAGAAGGTGTGCTGGAGGATGCACAGTTCTGTGTTCTGATATGCCAAGCAAAACCCACCATAAATGGACAAAGGTCATAAAAGTTAATTTAAGGAAGGGGCTTGCAACCAACCAAAAGACCGTTTGTGACCACCCCCACAAGGGCCCCTG